ATTTACTCTTATTCCTTTCCTGAGATTATTTATTAAATAGTATGTATTTAATTTACTGTATCTTGCTAAAGCTTCCATTTGAAGTAAGGGAATTCTTCATGTTATCATTGTTTAACTCTCACAGGAACCTACCCACGTGCTCACACACACACATGTGCGTACATATGGGAAAATCAGTGGGGTTTTTCCTCACTTAAACGCTCCAACATTTAGGTCCAAGAGGCAGGTTTTATTTAGCACCTACTCCATAGCTACTTTAAAATCTAACAGTCTGATTCTGTTTTGTATGAAGATAAATCAAGGATGAACTGAACTAAAATCAAGCTAAGTAAGATCAGACTCTGGCTTTATCATTTCAAGTAGCCACCGGATAGTTTAGTCTTCCTTCTCAGTCTCACAGTCATTTGCTGAAAAACTGTGGTTAGCAGGGATTTTTTGTTTACAAGTCACAATTTCTAATAAATGTGGTGTTTGCCCTCTGGCTTGACATCAAAGACAGTTTCATAACGAGGGTGTCTCCTACTGAATTATATTTCCCCTCAGTTTGTATGGGGAAGAGGGGCACCTATTACACAAAGGCAATTGTTGACTGCGTGCAACTATGAAGGGAAGAGCTACAACATTTTGTTTCCTTCATATTTTTAAAACACAGCTCTTAAAAGCATCCATGTCAACTTGAAAAAAAAAAATCACTTGTACTTACTTGCAAGCAACTTACTCATTAGTTAAAATGCCACAGTCCACGTCTGTGCTCAAGGAAGGGTATGCGCCCTACGTGTCTGAGATGCAGTCAGCCCAATGTGTCTCACTCCTGCTTAAAACTCAGGGAGAGAAAAATATATGTTTTCTTAAAAAAAAAAGGATCAAATGATCGTATCTCGAAAAGCATTAAGCAGAGTATGGTTGTAAAGTCTTTATATACTGCCTGCTTTTTACGAATCTTCCTCTTCTTTGAGCTCTATTTTCTTCTTTCTGCAGTCGATTGATGAAAATTTCACTCGAGTCTTTTCAACCTAAATCTGCATGCCTTCTTTCAACAGCGTTTCACATTTTGACCAAAAGGTTAAGGATATGTTTTCCTGGAAAAACAGTCTTGCCACTCCATTTCTCTTTTTTTTTTTCTTTTTCCCCCGGTAGTAGGTTTTAGTTAGTCTTCAAAGAATTCAGTGCCAGAGTATACAAGACAGGCCTCTCCCTATCAAAGTTTGAACATTCCCATAATCATATATTTCTTTCTGACAGGCAACATAGGATGATCTCTGGATGTTCACTATCATCTTCCATATGCTTTGAATTACAAGTCCTCTAAATCATTTGCTTAATCTAAATTATTATCAACAAAAGTGTCTTTTTTGCTCTGAATAGCAACAATGCATGAAGGCGCGGTGCCTTGTAAGCATTAATAGGGTCAGCACTATTAGAAGTGGAGTAGCGGTATACATTTTGCCCCTCTCCAGTTCTCCTCATAACGCGTGCCTCCCGCACGTCCCCAGGTGTCTGTTGCGGTGGGTGGCCATGCAGGGCAGCCCTGCGGAGAGCTGCTGGGGCTCTGCTCTCCGCAGCCACAGCAGAGCGCCGCGTGGGTAGCTACGCCTGTCAGGATGCTCGTCTGCGACTGATCAGTCACCAAGTCCATGCCTTTGCTCACCTGGTATGAACACAAGGCTGCATTGACTTACCGTGAGTACACGTTGTTTGTTAAGTTGAATTTCAGAGGCAGGGTCAAGGTCTTAAGGTCTTCACTGTACACCTTCTATGGTCAGGTCCTGCTCCAGGAGTGTTCCCCAGCAGTTACCACACCACATAGAGTAGCTGGTGATAGAAAGGCCTGCCTTCTTCCTTCCAAGCTGCCGCCCCCACCCTGCACTCTACTCGGCCGTCCTTCTCACAAATCTTCTGGGAAGCTTGGTGGTCACAGCTGACAGAAGTACTAAGCAAAACGCCTAGAGGCAGGGCAAAGCATGTCAGGAGTAGTCGTACTTACACTAAATTCCTTTATCTCATGCTGGAAGAACGCCTCTCCTGCAACTCTTCACCAGTGTCTCACGGCCCATCCAACCCCCTTCACTCTCTGTACAAACCTACCTGAGCTCCTCAGCTGGCAACAGGGCCCGCTTGTTTTCAGGCTTTCTGTCAGGGTGAGGAACGCTCGTGGTGATATCACTAGTTTCACCACACATCTCTTACACGTGATACGAGTTGTAACAACCTATTTCTGGAGCTGAATATGTGAGACCTCAGCTTTCTGCTTAAAAAGACGCATTGAAGTTGGGGGCAAGCTTTGAAAAACGACCAGAGAGAAAACAGTAGGCTCAGACAAGATACAGAAAAATAGAACACATTTTTATTTTGGTGTAAGCAAAGACCAAAGATCTCAGCATGCCTCCACTACATCCCTCGGGATGCTGGGCCAGAGGTGATGCTGAGCAGTGCCCGCTTCATTGCCTGGAGTCTGTTCCCAGTGGTGGGGCTAGTGTCACCCCTTCATGAGAGTGTCATGGAGATGGAGGGCAGCTCTTGGAAGTCTCCGAGCCGCAGTCTCCAGGGCACTGCAGTGCTGGACGGGACCAAACGCTCAGCACAGCCCCTCGCGGAGTCACGACACCCACTGCCTCACACAGCTCTCACTTCTCCAGATGAACTCAACATCCTGTTTAGCACTTCATTTTGTGCACAGCCAATTGGTTTTTCACTGAGGAAATAAGCTCTCCCTGTTCAGAGTAACACATACATAAATACATATACACATACACACACGTGCATGCGTGCACACAGACATCAGTCGTTTAAAGCCTTGTGGGTGTCTTCTTTCATATTTCTACCTTGTGGCTTCAGGAAGCCAGGAAATGTAAAAAGCAGTCAAAACATTAGGGGGGGAAAAAACAGATAGAAATGCCTTTTCCACAGAAAACATGGAGCAGCTCCCAGGCTGGCTGGCCCGGATCTGCCAGCTGACTTTGTGCCTTGCTTCTTCCTCCTCCTCCTCCTCATCTCTGTGGCTTCTCAGGGGTTTCCACGCCACAAGCACCAGCCAGGCACTTTGCTGAATCAGACCCACTGCTGCCAAAGCCACTTTCTCCCCGTAAATTCAGACTTTTACCAGCACTTATTACAGCTCTTAAATTCACTTATTGTAGTATCACGCCTCTCTTATTAAGATTTTAATCAGCATTTCCACTGGAAAGTTATAAAACTGCCTGTATAAAGTTGATTACCGCTGAAATTTAGAATCCAGCTTCTTGGCTCACAGCTAAGTTTCTTTCTTGCTTACTTGATCTCTGTTTGCAAAAGCTGATGTAAATTGGTTTGGCAAGTTTGTTTAATTCCACAGATAAACAATTCCTGACTTAAGAGGCATTTTTTTCCGGTGCACGAGAAGCAATGGAATGAAATTATCCTAAGTTACCTGCCTACAACATTAAAAAATTACCCTGGATATCTTTTTTTTTCTTTCTTTTAAATGTTCATATTTTTTACCGAGGAATGCAGCTAAAGAATTTAACCATTCACATTGTTTTCAAATGCTGAGTATTTTTGGAACAGTGTACAGCGCCTAATAGGAGAGCAATCACAAGAGGTTAAAGACTTTCAAAATACATGCCAGCACCTCAGTGCTAACAACCCATATCACTTCAATGAACTGTGCAGTATGTGTTGGCATGATTTATGTAGCAATTTTAAAAGAATCTGTAGTGTTTGTTTATTACCACAGCATGATTGATGGGTTCCTAAGTGCACAGCGACATTTTTTTTTCACAATCAGCTGAGCTATTACGGCTGGGAGTTTGATAATTTGTGAGTTACGGCCGTTACAGCATGTCATTTCAGTCAATTGCCAGAAGTCATTAGGGTATCAGTGACCTCAGAGAAACCGTGGTGAGATGAGATGGGCTGCCGACGGTGTCACCGTCGGACAGACCATCTCTCCCGTATGGTCACAACTGCTGCCCGCCTTCCCTGGCTCTCCTACTCTCCTTCCCTGACCTTCCTTGGTAAAGAAAATACACCAGTTAGCCCCATGAGCAACTCCTTCAGGTTCTGCTCTCATCCTCGCCCCTTCCAAATGTTGAAAGACTGGTACCAGCGTGACTCAAACCACAGAGTAGGAAAGGCTGCTCAAGCGTTGTCTTCCAACAGCTACTCGCTTTGTGACAGGTGACCGCGTAGACAAAGCCACCACCTACCCCAGAAACATACTCCTCACTGGAACAACCTCAGTTCCTTCCTGGAAAACATATCCCAGGCTTAAGTTTACGTACAAGACATTATGTCTAAGTCTTCACTGGATTTACGCATTTATTTGCAACACATACACACAAAAAACAAGTAGGAAAGAAATTGTATTTATCTTTTATTTTTATTTTTTTTACAAAAATAAACTATTTGAGAAACAAAAGCACTTTTTTTTCCTGACTGTACAAACTACAAAACAGTATGACATTGGTCACTTTAGCATTTACTTTATTGCTTTCACTGAAAGCAAATTCTCTAGACACACCATGCCTGTAAAACGCACTTTATATATAATTAAGGCTAGCATTCATTTGACATTATTAAGGTCATTTGCTTCATTCACTCTAAGAATTAGCAAGCGGTGCCTTAGAAAACCAAGGATTTGATGATAAAAAATACGAATAACTGCAAGACAGTCATTAAACTAGTACTGTTCCACCAGCTGGATTGTTTTGCCAGTCTGTCAAAGATGTGGCTTCCTGAACAATTCAAACTTGATTCAACAAAAGTTTTAAGCACGGGCTTAATTGTAAGCATATGCTTAGGCCTATCCCTATTCAGCAAAGCACTCGGCACTTGGGTAAGTCCCTTGCCTTTCAGTGGGACTATTCATATGCTTATGTGATTTGCTAGATCGACAAAATGGCTCTTTTAAATTAAAAATGAAACTTCATGATAACATTGGAAGCAAAAATGAAAATTAGCTGCAGTCTTGCAATTCTAAACATAACCAGTTCCTTCCTTTTGACAAATACGCCGGCATTGCGTATTCGATAGCTTTAACACAAATGCTGATTGTCTTCAGTAACGTTTGCTATTCAGCTTACAAACTGATATGCTTCAGTTACTCTGTTGTGATTGTACGTGCCCAAATAAATACCAGCATGGAGGATACAGACTTCCCACAGAAATGATCAACTTTCACCCCTGTATGCACATGTACAGGTCAGAAACATTATGCTAACCTTGGTTAGAAAAGCCAGAGCTGCCAGCTGATTTATAACCAACGTTATACCCTAACAGTGTATCATATCTTGTATTTTTCTTTGCTTTTTTTTTTTAAAAAAAAAAATCACATTTTCAAAATGTTGTTTTATTGCACGTTCATCCTGGTCATGCAGGTTATTTCTTTAAAGTTTTGTTTAGCACTCTATAGATTAGAATGAATAATAGTGCAATTATCTCTCTGGCCACAGCCGCCTTCTACCTAACAGCTGCCTATAGTTACACACAAACAGCTCTTGTCACTCACGCGTCACACCGAGCCACTTTAGGTGTCAGTCTGTCACCTTCACGTATGTTATCTTGTCAGGATCAGGCATGATGTGATTTGAGGCCATCTTGAAGAAGACAAGCTGCCGACCTGCACCAAATAGGAAAGGGGGCAGAATAAGGAAAAAAATAAATTAGAAGTTATGAGCAGAAGGTTGCCTACCTTAAAACACTGACATTTCATATTCTTCTTCAACCTACGCATTCTTCAGGCAACCCAAGATGGAAAACTCTCTCTTAACTTCAACTGGTATAAACCTGAAATGCTTTCGTCTAAAATGATATGGAATCTCCTCCACTTTCAGTATGTTTACTCTTTCCTAATTATGGTCAAGATATGGCTGTGCACAGCTAACATGGTAAATGAAGGAAAGGTCTGAAGAGCTTAATACAAATTTCCCATGATGTTTAAAAGCGTATTTAAAGACTCTCCCACTGATACCAACAGGCTTGAGTTCAGGGCTTAAATGAAGGACGTTGGTTTGATTGTACAGGAGCCACATCGTCTTCGCGTGCTTGAATCTTTGCAAAAGCGACCAGTGCAATGTATGTTAAACATCACTTCCCCTGAAATAGTTCTTGCTGATCACTTTGTAGCTCTGGGTTTTAAACAAGCTGGAACAAGGTTTCTACCCATGCAGAAATGGCCAGCAAGTGGTAACACCCTGGGCAGCATAAGGCACCTGCCTCACATACATCCGAGGCCAGGGGGGACTGAATTTGGTGAGGTTTCACTCAGCAGTGTTTGCAGGAGCCGCAGCACAGTTCTTGTATCTCCCCACACTTACTGACCTGGCATCTCATTCGCATCCCTGCCTCTCGACGAGTACCTGCCGTCCCACGCACCCTCACTGGCACTGCCCTTCCACGAAGCAGCGCCCACAGAGAGGTTTTCCGCAGCTATTCAACCTCTGCCTTCCCTCTCTCTAAACTTCAGAAAACTAAATGCTATTTACTCCCAGCTGCTTCTCCAGGGGCTCCCATAACTCTATTTTCTTAAAAAGTATCCCAGGGCAAACAGGATGCCTCAACTATGGAGCAAATTTCTGTGCTGCAGATTTCAGGGACTCGAGTGCTCATGCATCAAGAACGGCACACTAAAGGGAATGATAAATAAGACTAGAAATATTACTGATATGTGTCATTTGCTTTTAATATTACAACCTAAGACAGGAGCTCCTCTAAATTTCCTATGAATTTCCCTGTGTCATATTAATTAGTTTTTTTAGCATATCAATTAACTTCAGTAATCTGACTATAAGTAGTCTGACATGACTTAGTAGTCACTAGTTAACCACAGGCAAGGTTAATATAAATCAGTTTTTTCTAGGTTCCATGGAAGTCTCTGTTCAAACCTCTCAGAAGCACAAAGAAACGCAGAAGCTGTAGCAGTACAGTGCCTAAAACACTGAAATGTATGAACTGTCTAAAGTTTCTACTAGTCGGTGATGCTTTCAGAGTTGAGGACCTGCTAGGCATGTACATAAGCCTGGCTTGGGTGTGTATTTATGTTGCTCAGCTAAGCACAACTCAGCTGCACACAGGGTAAATTTTGACTTTAAGGTTAAGACATGTTGTGATCGCAGATGTACAGACAGAAAGCTGAGCCTCTCCGCCTAAGACAGGAGCAAGGGAGCCAGCCTGGCCCCAGCAGAAAATGGCAATCACAGGCAGGGAAACAGCCCTGTGCATGTGGAGACGACACAAAGAAGAAAAACTCACCCTGACTTCAGTTGGGGTTTTATCTCGAGGGAATATTGTGAAAGAACACGGATTTGGTCCGCTGCAACTTATACACACAAGCACGTCTTTTTTCTTTACCCTTCAAGGGTCGCAATGCGCTCAGGGGAACACTGCGAGCTGAGCTGGCCAGCGTCGGCCGTGGGGCACGCAGCTCTCCTGGGCACGCGGGGAAGGGGCACGGGGTTGGGAACCGGCTGCAGCATTCGGCTCTTCGAAACCTTCAGCCACCCCGGACCTGCAGATACTGGAGATTTTTAGCATAGACTTGTAACATTTTTGTTTCTCAGATTGGTCTGGAGTTGCCTGAAATAGGCACAAGTCCGGTGCAGAAGCAGGGATCCGGGGCCAGTTCTCCACTTGATGTCAATCGGCACTGACTGACTGCCTTCAGGGGAACCACACTGGGACTGCCAGGCACACAGACCTTTTGGAAAGCGTATTGCTCTTTCCAACAGGCGCGTTCTGTTAGACAAGAAAATGAGTTGTGGTAGCAAATGGGATTTTCCCCTGGAGATTCTACTTCTACCTGGTTTTAAACCCTCCCTCCTCACTGTCCTTCAGCCAAAGCCCTACTGCTAGAGGCACAGTGTTCTCACCATCGGCAGGGCATCTCTGACACCAGCCGGGAAGTCCCAGCTAGACGCACAGGAGAACCTGTTTGGTTTTGTGTCAAACCACAACAACCAATATGGATTGGAAAGATTTATTTAAATCCAGATGTTGGACCATGTCTTGCACTTCAACTGCAGAAACAGGTCACAGGCTTTTGTTGTCATTTCTGCTGCTGTATTGTAAAAGAAAACTTCGGATGGCATGGTTTGGAGATCTATGGTCCACGTGCCGCAGCCCTCTGGTGCCAGCTCCTTTGAGCCTGCCGGCAGGTGCCTGCTCCCCCGACAGCTGGCAAAGAGAAGCCCCACCAAAAACCAAACCACCTCAGCTGGAGCTTCAGAAACTTGTAGCTGCTGGTGGTGGCTCTCACAGCCCAGCGCGGCACTCTCCCCGAACTGTATTAAAGCACCTAAAGCAGCCAGAATACGTGACTCATCTGCTGCTTCTGCTCCACGGCATCCGCGACCTACCTGTCCAAGTGGTCTGGTTGGTCAGGACGAAAGCTTTGCACTGTGAGTAGCTGTCACAGATCTCAATGGCTTCGTTGACATCAAACACAGAGAGGAGGCAGCCCTTGTGATGGTAAGATGGCCAGCATCTGTAGTTCTCATCAGGAATAAAAGCTTCAGGCACCCGCCTGTACTCTGCAAATAACCAGAGCAAAACAATCGTTTTGAAAGCTCTAGCAAACTGCTTGGTTTTTTAGCAGGCAAGGTTTATTATAACAGCTTAGGAGCAGGATATATGACGGAAAACGTGACGAGCTAGACTGTACCAGCCCCGGTTTGCTCCCAAACGTGTTTATAGCTCTGCACCTTACTTTCCTTTTCCTTTCCTCTTTTTTTCTTCTCACCTTTTTTTCCAGAAAGCGTCTGTAAATAAACAGTCTGTGCACAAAACCCTTTCCCCTTCCCCACCGTGTAGGCGAGGCTATGGTTTTATTAGGAGTTTTACAGGAAGAATGTCCCATTGAATAAACAGCATCCACTTGAATGAACTGACTCACTGTCCTACTTCTTAACAGTGAGCGGGATTGTTGGGGTGAGACCCGACCAGGCATTCCTAGCCCTCCCTCTCCCTCAGAAGAGCATGCTATTTTCCTCCGGCCCCTTTAGAGAAGGAAGAAAAGACAGGCTTTTAATTAAGCAAACTTTTTTTTTGCTTGCTCAGATTAGCACAAAAGGGGAGTCGCTTGATGGGCCTCCGAAGAGAAGAAAAAACAAAAAGCAGAGGGAGCATGTCGGCGTGGTCCTCGCCCAGCGCCTCCGCGCTGCCCTGCCGATTACTCCTCTCCCTTGGCTGCCGTTCAGACTCACTTTGCCTTTATGAGCTGCCTCTTGTTCTCTCTTCACAGCTCCTCTCACTTTCCCAGCCGCTGATGGGAGTTTCTCTAACGAATGCATCAGCAAATTCACCTAATCACTTACAAACATTTCTCTTTAGCATCCAGACGCACAAATTGATGGTTCCCCCTGTCTCTCTTCCCCCTACATCCTATTAAAAAAAAAAACAACCAAAACCCAACATTCTGTATTTCTTCTTATTGTATCTATTATGGAAACCAGAGCTGCCGGCCCTGACTTGCAGCCTATTCTTAAGTCACTTTGGTTCAGGCATTTTCTGCCTGACACTGCAGATTCAGCCTGCTAATATTTCAGGCAGCACATTGTATGAACACCACCGAGTCAGAGGTGAGTGGATCTACTACTCTGAACTGCCGGTATTTCATCTGGGAAAAGTTCACATGCACAAGTGCTCATTCACATTGCACAGTCTGAAATACCGGGGAACAAATGCAGCAAGTGCATTCTAAGCCTGGCTCATTAACAGCATCATAAGAAACATTCACAAACAAGAAGCAAAATCAGAGCTGATCGCACGCATGCTGCTTAAAGGCAAAAAAAGTTTTCATTAATTCAGAAAATGCAGACTCATGCACATGAAGAAAAGAACAAAACAAATAAAAATGTAGTTTCACATTACAAATGGTCATTTCTCCATCAAAAATATGTATACATTTCTTCTGAAGAAAAGTCAGAACATAAACAGCTAGTGGCTGGATAGGTAAAGTCTCTTTTGTTTTTTTCTGAATTTCTGTATCAACCGTACAGTGTTAACAATAATTGAATGTAATTGAATAATATTCTCTTATGTCTGCATGGTAACTGCTGAGTATTGATTTGTACCTCACAGCCAAGGTCAGTAAAATGGTGTGTGCAAATGAGATGCAAAAAAATCAATTCACCGTTGTCAGCACCACATACACCTATCTGTGTCAGTGTGCGTGCCGTGTGACCGGATAGAAAATGTGACTATTCACAACTTTTCTTTGCACGGCTACAGAAGTGCCACCTAACACTGCACTGCGCCAGAGCCCACGCCACAGAGGATGTTCACAGAATGATGGCACTTGCTGCAGCAGACGAAGATGAAGCATCTGCCTGATTCTCCACGTCAGCAGGGAGCCCGGCCCGGCCCTTCTCGTGGGTGCTGTCGGAGCCTGCCGGGCTCCGTGCCGGGGCTGAGAGGGAGCTGCAGCATCCCTCGGCACGCCATCAGGGCAGCAGGCAGAGCAGCCCCACGTCACGTCATGTATTTTTCTCCGTGAAAGGCAGAAGCTCATCTGGAAAACCCATATTTTGAATTATTGTTCAATTTTTTAACTCCTTTGCATACAGATATGCCTCTTAATATGCCTTTAGCACTTTTTTTCATCTCAATGCTGTTCCTGTTACAGCTGTCAGGAGTTAGGCTCCCTGCTGATGTAAACAGATTTCAAAAGAGCACCAGTGATTTACGTGACCTAAGGCTCTGTCAGAGGTAGGAGATAAAGTTCTCCCTTTCCATTGACTTTTTCAAGGTGACCGAGCCTGGTAAATCATTTGGGCAGCTTGGACACATTAATTGACGGAGTTGGGCCAGCAATAACTGCGATGGTGATGGCGAGGTCCTGGCTTGCAGGTGCAAGAGAGGATGGAAACTTCCACGCCGGTACGTTGGGTGGTCTCACCATGCAGCAGAGCCCTATGGCTGTTCCTGCTCTCCTTGCCGGTTCCTACACAAGGGAAGCCACCACCACCTGCAACGACTCGTGGGAACAGGGTAGCCTAACAGGTACACAGCAGTGCGACCCACATGCAAAGAGCATTCTCCTTGGCTGGGAGATCATCGAGCACCAGGCAGGTGAAAATGCAGCCACTGGAGTCTAAGTGAAAGCACAGAGTCACACGGGCTCCACAAAGGCAACTTCTGGCAGCTCCCCCGAACTGGCAGATCGCTGAATGCCAGCGGTTTGGGGATCTGAGCATCCTGCCTACGCTGCCTGCAGGAAGGGGAGCGGGATGGAGCGAGGGGGAAAGGCAGGAAGGCAGCCTCTCTCCCCGCTTGCATGGCAGGCAGCAGGGGCGGCTGCCTGGGAGCACCTTCCCCCAGGAGCATCCCGATGGGAAGGCGGCCACGAGGAGCAGATAGTGGGACATGCCATGGCCCCGCATGGCTCATGCTCCCAAACCAGCCAGGTGCTCCCTCCACCCCGGGAAACCAACACAGAATCTCCTCTGAAACTATTACAGTCAGAACTGATCAGAAACTCACTGCAACACCAACCGAGCGCTGGCCTGAGGACACCGCATTTCTCTCCAAAACTCACTTTATCTTGAGCAGAGCAAGGTAGCTGCCTTCCCCATTTGCACAGCGAGTGCAAATATCCCTGGAATCTCTTGTTTACGCACCGACAAATTAGGAGGCTGACCCCTTAGCCCTTATTTGTACAAGTTGTGAAGAAATGCACTCCTCTCGTGAACTAGGACGCTCCTGAAGGATGCCCCTCCGTCCAGATGTGCCCCGGCAATGACAGGCGCCTCCTGCTCCTCTTGCACTCCATCAGCCCCAGCCTGCAGGAGAGCTGGGCTTCCCCTATACCATTAAATTGTCATCCTGGTCACTACAGTGCAGTTATCTGCTCAGTTTAGCAAAACTCCACTGGTTAAAGTCAGCCCTAGCTCAGGTTTTTGTCCTGCCAAGACCTGAAACTTGCTTAAATGGAGTCTGTGGAATTTGAAGGCTGATGGCAGTAAATCACATCATAAAAAGGTCAAAGTTCTGGTCGATTTCCAGACTAATGGTGTTTAAAACCAATAAATACTTGCCTAATACTATAAATGCAGCCATAAATTTACACTTTGCATACATACACATAGCTTGACACAGAGTAAATAAAGTCTATCAAGGCAATGGCAAGGAATAGATCAGAGAAATGCAAGACGCTCCTACCAGTATCACAACGGAAAAAGAATCCTTTTCTCCACCTACTGATTTTGTGAAGATTGAAGCAAATAAATGTAATGCAGTAAGCCTGATCTTGATGTCACTTATGACAGCTTTACTCTGGTTTAACGTACGGAAGCTGATTTGCTGCTCACAGTTATACAAATAAATCCTTGCTAGGAAACATTTGTGCTGCCCTGTAAACATTTTGAAACTTCAAAATATCTTGCTATGCTGAATCTGGGCAATCCTCAGAAGTTTTGGTTTGCAATATTTTTAATAGTTTTAAAATATTTTTACAAGTTTGCTCTGGTCAATCGAAATAGGTTGTTTCAATCAGGCCAAAATCTTCTTACAAGTTTCTTACAGCGCTAGCCAGCCCCCACAGCAGCCACAGTGATTTTCAAACTGAGCACCTTCTCGTGACAGGTAAAAGAGGCATCTTTAAAAGCAACCTGTAGCAGCACTGACCAGGGCAAGCGCTACAAAAGAAATGCTTTAAAATCTCCTTTGAATTTTTTTCCATCAAAAATCACCTGCGTTGTCCCAAAGCTGACTACAATCTATAAACATACTCATTTTCACTGGACTAGACTGAATCATATAAATAACTCGGCAAGTATATAATAAACTATGTGAAACCGCCTGTGGTTTTCCCCCTTTTAGCTTGTTTGAATCACCCTAAATCTGACTTTAATCAGTCCTAATGACCGTTTATTTCAGCCACAGCAGCCAGATTGCACTTTTACTACCAACTACAGCTACTCGTTGGAAAGTTGCCCAGTTCTCTTTTCTAGTTATCACCTGCCAATACACCGTGGGTCAATGACACAGACACAGTAACGTTCATCCTTGAGAGAGAAATCCTCCTCTCTTCCTCCATTCTCGAGAGGAACACTGGCAGTCGACTCTGAATTTGCTTTCAATTGCTTTGCTTACAAGTAAGCAGAAAGAGCCTGATCTTGCCAATCTCAGCATAAAGTGGTATTGAGCAGTGTTTTGCTCTACAAACAGTCCCCACCGATTCCCAGGGAGCTTATGGAGAACAGACTCAGATCCTAAATAGACAAAAATACACTTATGTTTTTAGTATGCTTCGCTTTATGCTGAAATTTTCCTCATGCCTCAATACCTCACATTTAAACACGCTTCTGACAACAAGCCTCACAAAACTATTTTTTGGTATGTCTGTGAAAATGACATGCTAGGCGCGTCCCGCGTCTCTCTGCTTTCAATCATTTCTGACAAATCCCAACTGTTTGGAAGGACAGACAGGCCTGGCAGGACACGGCTTTGCCGTCAGACCGGGAGATAGCCCCGCTTCTCTGGTGAGTATTTCTGTCCTTTGGCTGTTTCCCGTGCGCGGGCTGGAAGAGAAGTAAGGCTTGCCACTTTTCATATGCTTCTATTGTGCTCTACAGCGGAGCCACATTTAAATCGGTATGCAGGCTGTCACCAAAACACAAATAAATAAGGAGAAGAACGACATGTTCCCTCACATTTTATTCCCGTTAACGTGACACAGCTGGAGTGTTTTATCTGCCTCACGTCCCAGGGCCGCTCACCGGGCATCCGCGGCCACCTCCACTGTGCACACTGTGGGCCACCAGCCCAAACTAGTGCCACAGATGCTTCTAAGCGGCATCTGGCCCACTCGCTCGTAAAAACAACGATGCTGATGATGGACAAACCAAAAGGTGTCTGGGACCACGCATGCAGGGTATTTAAGCTTAGAGACAGATGTCTGTGGGATTTGTAAAATACACTCGGTGACTTCTTCAGTGAGTGTTCCTGAAAGGAGCTGACTACCTAACCCACCAGCAGAAAGCATTTTGCTGTACGCTGCCACGTTGGACCTGAAGAAGTTTAGCGACGGCAGAACACGCTGCTCAGTGAACAGGGTGCACGGTTTGCACGACAGCAGATACACGCATGAGCGACAACCAACCGGTCGCCATACAGCTGTACAGCCCCACTGTATTTCCAGTGCCGTACGGTGCAAAGGAACCTGCTCCTGTATTGCTCTGTGTGCGGGGATCGCCCGGCTGCTGATGGGAAAGCCCTCTGTGCAAGGCAGGGCGCAGAGGGAGACTTTCTGCCCGCGCTTGCACCCTGTGCACCTTTCCCCCTCAGCCCTGACGTCCCTGGGAAAGAAACACCAACCGCCCGAGTGCCAGGTAAAGCAGGAATCTGGGCTGCAGTACGCTCCCGGCTGAGCAGACTTTTACCCTTCGCATTGTGGCCTGCCATAGGATACACAAACTGCCTCAAACAATATTCCAGCAACCTTGCAAAATTTCTCTCTCGCACATACACATGTGCACAAACGCCCACAAACATCCCCCTCGATTTCAATAATTCTTGGGTGGATTTACAATTTCCTAAGCAGGTTGCTATAGTGACCCTGCAGAATATTTTTTCAAAACACTGTTGTACTGTAAATGTTTACATACAGCATAATCCTGCCAAATTGTCTTAAGACAAAGGGAAACATGAAGTGTCTTTGCTTTATGTCCAGCCTTCCAGCTTTGTTAGCATTGAGAATGTACTTTCAACTAACAGCAGCAGCTAATTATGCCTTTCTGTGGGCTTGCACACCCTCAGGCCTAATAATGGGTCATCTATTAGCTTTAATGAATAACAAAGCTATCGGATTTACTAGTGTTAGCTGATTTCACGCATTTCTGAGTAAATTCTGAGTTAACTGAAGGGCTGGGGCTTAGCTCAAGGGCCAGACACCCAGTTGGTACAAATCAGTGTCACTTGATTGAAGTCATAAAGATGTTGATACTGGCGCAGGACTCTACTGATGAACATCAGCAGCTTTTTTTTTTTTATAGTCGTCTTAATCTGGATAATTAACGGAATGACTTAATCATTTTTAGATAACGTATGTCAGAAAAAATACATGGTTCCTGTTTTAATTCACATTCTTCTGGATTCCAGCAAGAGAGACCAACAGTCAATGGAATATAAATGTATTTGCTCATGGTGTTGTTTTAAACACTGTAATGTTCCTATATCAACACGAACAGTAGTGTGATTTATGATTACAGAACACATACATAGCTATCAAATGTCTCCCGCACCTCTACTCTGTTTCTAAGATACTAAAGCAAAGTCCAGAGCATAATATAATTTACAGCACTATAAAATCTTTTACAACTGAAGCACAGTGAAAGCTTAATATCCAAGACCTTCTGTAATATGACTATGTCATCTTGTTAAACTTTATTTATGGGAACACTAGGGTTGACAAGAACTTTCTTCATGTCACTTCCCTACTGATTATCAATATCACCTTTCTCACTTCATGGTGTTCATAGGAGGAGGTCTTCCTTTCAAAAACATAGGTTCAGATAGATAACAGACTGTTTCCTCAAAGTTTATGTTTTAGTTACGGCCTTAGATCACTTGCTCAAGATCATGATCTCTTCCTTCCTAGTACGAATTTACAATGCTCTATCCAAGACAACAGATAATTCAAAGCATTTAGACCAAAGACAAATTCTGAAGCACTGTTATCTGAACCTTCTGTGGTTTCTTTTAAAAAAAACCAAAACCAAAACAAAATCTTGCGATTCTTGGATCTGAATTCTCCTCCAGTTCTGCTTTTATGATTTCAAAATAGATCATACACCAGAAAGGCCTTATTTTGTCACAACCCTTTCGAAGCCAAAAGAGACTGGCATTGTTAATTCTTGCCATTTCTACCGCTTGAGAGTGCAAAAATCTTGGGAGCCAGTCACCTTGTGAGATTTCCATCACCTGGAAAAAAACCGATGTGAACTTGTGCCTGCTCGATCTTGGCACAAAGGTGTACAAATGCAAAGCTCTGATTAACTCTGATCTGGCCTGAGAACCAAACCACCGTCTCTAGTTTTATCTTAACCTAGCACTGGGTTGGAAAACCCTCTCCTTGAACTTTCATTATGCAGTAGAGCAAGGTAGAAATGTTTTAAAAAGATCCAACGATCTTAAAAATATTTTTTCTTTGCTTTCAGAGAGTAACGCCGTGTCCTCCTGGACCTCAAACAGGGCCAAAGCAAGACCTCTGCTGACAGCCTGGGCAAGTACCACAGTTGTCCCTTTCCACACCCACCTCCCCCTCCGCCGCCCAGCAGGAGTTACACACATTATTCGATCTGCTCAGCATTTCAGCCCTGGTTTCGGTGGTCAGGACACCAGCTCAGCTGGGAACATCCTGCCAGCGGGGAGAGGTTGATCACTCGGACACCAGTCCTTTCCAGCACCGCTGGCACCCTCTCCTGCAACCTCACCATACCGCAGGAGAATTTCTCATTCCATAATCTCTGCATAATTTCTAATTAACAATTTCTAATTCCATAACTCCTGGACTGAGAATAAATTAATTCTAGCATGGTATTACCAACCAAATACTGGTTGAGGAAGGAATGTGTTCAGAATAAAAGTGATACAAATGACTAAGTAGGTGTATTTTCACCCTCACGATATAACTTCTTCATACTTTTCTGGCAAGGAAAGGGAGCCTTAAAATAGAAATAAATTACAACCCCTTTTCTGTTTGGTTAAAGTAGCCTTAGAACAAACAAGAAACAGGCCTGCACATCTTAAAAGGCATGGCAGCTAAGTCTGAAAATACATCTCATCTAAGTGTAATTTCCACTAAGATCTCTGATTCCTCAGGCTTGCCTTGGTTGAGAACATTTTCCTATCAAGGAATTCAATATTACACTCACGGTCTTTAATGTAGACTCACCAAATATGTTACACAAAGCATTTACGGACTTTCAACATCTCTGCTCACGCTGCAGAGTGCCAAAGTCCATGAGCAGTGTCCTACACAGAGCAAGGGCTCCTTGCACAGAAGGGCGTTACTAACCGTGAACACGGGTAGCGGATTCTGCGTTATATTATTCAGGACTCTATGGAATTAAACTAACACAAAAATGTGTAATTATTACAGTAGCCAAATATACGTGGAGCGCTGCTCCATATTAGTAGAAACCTGCACTGTTACATTTCCTACCGCTGTCCTAAGCTTAAATCTCCAAGATTCTTTATAAACACGACAGCCCTCTAAAATTCAAAACTTCATCTTGTCCTGATACGGCAGTTAAATCTGGAATCAACCAGCATCACAGAAAAACTTCAGCCCTCCTGGCACTTCTTCAACAAAGGACGTGTTTGTACTATTGATTGTACTGCTGAAAATAATTTTGCTGTGTTGACAGGCATCACTCAGCACAGATTGTGATGAAAAGCTGAAAATTAGAAAGTTAAATGAACACCTGCAACAATTTTCCTGCCAATTTTACAACAAAATAAATATTGAATTATTCTGATAAGTGGGTCAAATTCATCCCTGGTGTCATGGCCCTTTGAGGTTAACAGCGCTACGACAGCAATGAATTTGGCTCCTGTGTCTCTTTCACAGAGCAAATGCTTCACTGAACTTTTCAAACCCCCCGTGCCAACATTCATCTTCATTTAGAACCCATCTTTCCCTCTTTACTGAGCTTTTGCAGCAAAGCCATAATTTTCCTATCAACTTGCAGTCAATTACGTTGACAGTTTGACATGAATATTGTAAGTACACAAAAATAATTTGCAAAACAGCTTTTTCAATTGTTAGATTTAACAGTCATTTCCATCATACATAATCTTCTTTGATGTGTATAATTCCACAAGCTATCCTTCCGGGAAGGATACGCATCCCTCCATATCATAGCAGCTTAAATAGCATTTTACATACCTGTGGTCCTGCAGAGATTTTATGAAAAAGATACTACTATGCAGCTTCGTATTAATCCTGTCCTTTTTTTTTTCTTTCCTTTTTTTATTCTATTACTAGCAGAAGCTGAGGGACACGTTATTTTTCTCTTGCAAAATTTTATTCTGCCAATCTACAAGTGCTTACATAGTAAGAAATTCCTGTTAATCCTAGGAAATCCACAGAGGATTACGGCATCTTGATGAGATTGCCCTGGACTCACGTTTGGGGAGGTTCTGATACTCCAACAATAAGTGTGTGGATGTGATGAAAAACATTTTCCACAAACCTGCTATGAAGAGCAATGCTCCATTGAATTTCCTTATCCCTATTACAGCCTGCTCACACCTATGGATGTGCAGCTACCTCATTTAGTAAGGAGGGCTTCAGAAGGCTCCCAGGAAGCAAAAAGCAGACAACAGATTACCGCGTGTATGATTTCAAGGGCCATTGAGCCCTGTTTTCTGCACGTTTGCCCTTTCAAATCCCAAAATAAAGACAAAGTCTCTGATTTTAAGTTTCAAGAAAAATCACTTTACCAGCTTTCGGCATCCGGGTCGTGTTCTGTAGGTACTCTCCACTCTTATAGAGATTCAAAACTCTCTCTAGCTGAGCAGCCGTCTCATCTATTCCCCAGTGAAGTTCTCCTTTAAAAGCAGAGAAAGAGAATGAGTTAGATGAGGAGCAACGTGCACAGGACAACACGAGGTTGCATTCAAATAAAACCCTAAGCGTCAGAGCCCAGCAGTGCCCTGCTCTACAACGCCGTTGCGATGTGGTCATGGAGTCCATGAGTGACTACAAATTGGGTTTCGTACATGACGTGAGCCAGGCATGTCAATGGCAGGCTCATCCAGCTGGGAGCCCCAGGCCTGCGGGCAGGGAACACTGCGGTGAGCTCCCCACCAGCGACAAACTTCAGCCAATATAGGCAACTCCAAAGGCTTTGCTTGTTCATTAGCTATAGCCCAGCATCATTAAAGTCCCCGCTGAATACACGCAGTACAAGCTATAAAACCCCTAGACCAATGCACCAAAAGCCCTCAAATCAGATTTACAGGCACATGCAAACTCTTGTCCCAAAGGCACTACACCTTGGTAATTAGTAAAGATCTATGGTAATGTCACTTGCCTCTGGCTTCTGAGGTGTAAAAGCCCCACTGCTGCCATTGGCAATGCGGAAGTATCCTGGTTTTATCACTAAAATTCCCCTTGCCAGAGACAGGGGTTCCTCCAGATCCTGCAAGGAATTGCATTCTGATGCAGTTCTCCCCAGTGAACTATTGCACTGAACAGAAGAGCAGCATTCCCACCGTCCCAAACATGACAGTCACACTAAAAAAAAGGAAAAACTTGGCATTACCACGTTTACTGCCATTACCTGTTGCGTTGACTATCTTATCCAGTAATGGTCTCAGTGAGGTTGGAGCACTGTGTGGAAGAAGATACGTAAAAAAAAACCTGCAATGGAAAAGTAACCCGTATTAAAAAATTTTACAAAAAGAGTTTAACAAATGTCTGGTAACTACTGAACAACATAAAGAATAAAATTCCTATTGCTTATAAGCCACAGACCTATTCAGGAAATATAATCATATTCTATAGTCAAATAAATATATAGCTGAGACTATTCACATAGCTGTCTGGCATACCTAGACCACGCTGTTATGCACAAGGCTGCCTTGTAACTACGTGTAAATGTTCCATTAATATAGAAATTTGCTGTGAAGCCCCATGGATTGTGACTATTTGCCAAGCTGCCTGTACTTTAACAAACTAAAAGGATGCCATCAGCCCCAAAAGTCTTGGGTTTTTTTTCCAAACCTTGAAAATGCATAAATGAAATTTCAGCTCGTTTCAAATAATTGACTGTTATTTTCTTTTCCACAGCTTTCTTAGACTTTCAAATGAATGGCCAGGAGAAAGACTTTTTTCTATTGTTTTAATGCCACTGCCATTCAGAATGTCTCCTGTGTTCTCACCATTTATCTAAATTCAAGATGCATTCATGTAGGTATTCATCGATGGATGTATATTCTCCATTTTAACATTCTTAATTACAAAAGAAAAAAACAATATGCCTTTATCATCACTTGAAGTACACTTAATTTTCATATTGCTCCTTCAAATTTCTACTACTCTGCCAATATCACTACCCACTGTAAACACAGTGTCGGCAACCTAAGATAGAGATGGACGGTTCAGGATCTGACAATATAAAGAGAAGTATCGGACATAAATATTAGGTAATGAGCAGAACAGGAACACAATTGGAAATTGCCCTGCTTTACATCTAACCTGCAAAGTAAATGTTTTTTCACGTACAGAGACCACATTGTCAAAGAGAGACCTCCAGGGACTCACGTTCAGGAGGGAGACTAGCAGACGTCTTACATCATAAGCACAAATTAAAAAATTAAGTTACTATCAGTAAAAAGTAAAGCAAAAATTTATCATAGACACAGGTATTATTAAGCTGACATATTCCACTTACACAATGAATATTTCATTGAGATTTTAACTCCTTTTTTCATCCTTTACAAAAATAAT